AAGGGGGCTGCAGACATGTGATCTCGGCGACATTGCCAAGTTCACATGTAAACGTACAATCAGCTTCCCTCACTCTACATTTAGCTCAGCTTGTGCAAAGCAACTTACCGCCCAGCGCCTGGGGCTGCATGCATGTGATCTCGGCGACATTGCCAAGTTCACATGTAAACGTACAATCAGCTTCCCTCACTCTACATTTAGCTCAGCTTGTGCAAAGCAACTTACCGCCCAGCGCCCGGAACTTCCCCACAAGGACACCTTTGCCGCCGCTCTGCTCCCTGCCGGGCCTCAGTGGCCTTGTGGGGAATCTGGGCCTGATGACAGCATTTCATACGTGACAATGACATGAAGTTTCTGCAGAGAGTCAATATTTGCAGTGTTGTCCCTTCTTATTCCAGACCTCTGCGATTCCCCCCGGCATGCTGCCAGCTTCTGTGCCACATCCTGACTGATGGCAGCCCATTCTTGCATCATCAATGCTTGGAGTTTGTCAGAATTTGGGTGTTTTTTTTTTGTTTCCCCGCCTCTTGAGGATTGACCACATGTTCTCGTTGGGATGAAGGTCTGGGGAGTTTCCTGGCCATGGACCCAAAATGTTGATGTTTTTTTCCTCAAGCCACTTAGTTATGACTTCTGCCTTATGGCTCCATCTGCTGGGAGAGGCATTGTTCCTCACCAGACTGTCCCTGAATGGTTGGGAGAAGTTGGAGGATGTTTCTGTATCATTCTTTAGTCATGGCTGTGAGTGAGCCCCCCGCTCCCTTGGCTGAGCCCCCCGCTCCCTTGGCTAAGGTGTGTCAGTCGGTCCATATCATACACAGTGTGATCTCCAGCATGAGGAACAAGTGATTGGTAAGCAGTGCGGATAAGTGGTTACATTGATGCCTCATTGGTGAGCAGGACAGATAAGTGGTTACATTGATGCCTCATTGGTGAGCAGTGCGGATAAGCGGTTACATTAATGCTTCATTGGTGAGCAGTGCGGATAAGTGGTTACATTGATGCCTCATTGGTGAGCAGGACAGATAAGTGGTTACATTGATGCCTCATTGGTGAGCAGTGCGGATAAGTGGTTACATTGATGCCTCATTGGTGAGCAGGGCAGATAAGCGGTTACATTGATGCCTCATTGGTGAGCAGTGCGGATAAGCGGTTACATTGATGCTTCATTGGTGAGCAGGACAGATAAGCGGTTACATTGATGCTTCATTGGTGAGCAGGACAGATAAGCGGTTACATTGATGCCTCATTGGTGAGCAGTGCGGATAAGCGGTTACATTGATGCCTCATTGGTGAGCAGTGTAGATAAGCGGTTACATTGATGCCTCATTGGTGAGCAGGACAGATAAGCGGTTACATTGATGCTTCATTGGTGAGCAGTGCGGATAAGCGGTTACATTGATGCTTCATTGGTGAGCAGTGCGGATAAGCGGTTACATTGATGCTTCATTGGTGAGCAGTGCGGATAAGCGGTTACATTGATGCCTCATTGGTGAGCAGGACAGATAAGCGGTTACATTGATGCCTCATTGGTGAGCAGGACAGATAAGCGGCTACATTGATGCCTCATTGGTGAGCAGGGCAGATAAGCGGTTACATTGATGCTTCATTGGTGAATTGTTGATATGAAGAAGTCCCAGTCGGAGGGCTGTGTGCGGTCGGCCCCTCTAATCTTGGAGGATCGGTTTTCTTTCCTCTTTCAATCCTCCCAATTCTTTTGTTTCTTATTCCCAATATTTTCTTCCCTCCGGTGATGCCGGATCTGACCAGTTGGTGTGAGATTTCTCGGTGTGTTGTTAGCCGGTTTGTAGTCTTCACTCCTCCTCATTGGACGGTCTCTGACATGTGACTTTGTAACGTCTCATTCTGGTTCTCTGTAACATTTGGAGGATCCAGAATGCGTGGCGCTGGCTGACCCGATAACAGATTTGTATCAGATTGTGTCCGGAACCTTCTCTGCTCTCAGGTTGAGGATTACTCTGCAGATCGGTGACACGTGTCGTGATGTCAGTGTGTGAAACTGTATCCTGCGGGGTTTTTGGTGCCGATCTCTCTGAAGGTTCAGCGGCTCCATTAACCTTTCCACTGCCGGCAGAGAATATTTCTTCAAGGGAATGGAACAAATTTCTCCATTTTGGTCCCCCACTGCTACATCTGCGGGTTGCCGTCTCCAGACGGCAATTTTTTTCTGCTCGCGGGCACGCACGGGCAGAAAAGACCCGACCGTTGCACACACCCGTTACCGGGTGTTTCACATATAGGCGATCAGCGGCTCCATAGCCCGCCAATCGCCTATATGTGCTCGTTCGCGGCTATGTGATCTTTTTTAGGGCCATCAATCACTGATAACACTAAACTGATGAGCGGTAACAGCTTTTAAAGCGTCGCCTATGGCCAATTTTGGGTATTATCGGTTTTTGTGGTTTCGCACGCCACGCAGTTTTAAGGCTTGATATGTTTGGTGTCTTTTTACCCGACGTGACCCGGTCTTTTATATTTTACCAAAAAATTGGGTAATAATAAATGTTTTATCATTTAATATAGGGGAAACTGTTGTTTTTTTTTTTAAATTTCGGTAATTTTTCCTTAATATAGTAAAAAAATAAAACCCCCAGTGGTGAATAAATACCACCAAAAGAAAGCTCTATCTGTCCCCAAAAAAGGGTATAAAATTCATTTCAGTACAGCGCTGCATGACGGAATAAACGTCAGTCAAAGTAGCGCAGCGCTGAATACTGAAAAATGGCCTGGATGGGAAGGGGGTTTAACACCGCGGATGTCAACTGGTTAAATGGATCACTATTGGGATCATCGTTGGGGCCAATTATTGGGTTCACTGTTGGGGTCATTATGGGGGTCATTATTGGGATCATTATTAGGGTATTATTGGGGTCGTTGTTGGGGTCATTATTGGGATCATTATTGGGTACTCGGGAGATGATTGGGGACGTTGTCGGTTCTCTCACTCTGGGCGGTTTCTGAGTTTTATTGATTTGCCATCACGATGAAGACGCTTCAGCCAGCCGCTGACCAATCCCGAGCGCCGGCGTTCAGCATTATAATAATACATTGTGACATTGATACATTGTATTCCGATCCGCTTCCACTCTTCCCTGTCCTGGGCCCTGATGAAGGGGAGTTCTGGCCCCAAAACGCGTCGATTCTTCTTGTATATTCTATCTTGTATTGGGATCATTTTATATCTGCACCATTGTGTGACACTTCAGTACCGGCTCCCAGGATGACCCAAACGCCTGACAACCTTTATAAAGTGAACGGCTTCATTATCAGAGTTGTGTGAAGTTCAGTGAAATCCTTCCGCTCATCCGTATTCCCTGCGCCATGGGGGAGGCAAGATGGCGGCACCCAA